GATAAATGGAATGGAGAGGCGTAATGTAGCCATATAATAAGTATTGATACCAATTTTTTTTTTTTAAGAAATAAAAGAAAACATTTTTTTTTTTTTCAAAATCGATATCGATACTTGGTAAATGCATATCGATAATCAAATCGCGGGAGAAAGTATCGCGATATATCGAAAAATCGATATATTGTCACGCCCCCAGTGTACAATAAAGACATCCAAAGTATTAAGTAGTATGGAAATAGCAAAAGAATCAACAACTTCAGTTTCATTTCCACTAGACGTTAAAAACCACATTGGAGTCTTCAAAAAATTTGTGGGGCCAACTATAGCGCATTGAGTATGAAGTTTTAAAAAAGACCACTAATCTGGCAAGCCAAATGATTGGATAATCTGTGTGAAAATGTTAACATTTGCTAACAATAATTCAAACTTAAAACTTCTGTTCAGAAAAGGCCAAATATGATTTTTACGTGTTGACCTATTATCTGGGCATACACATACATAAAATCTAGATGGTCTTTAAACCTTCTTTCAAGGCTTTGTGATTGATCCCTTGCCAGTTCGTAGAGGTACTCAATTGATGTTGTGTTTGTGTCTCAGTCAAACGTTTTTTATTTTATTTCATTTGAGACTGGCCCCCTTTTACACACCAAAAGAGCAACAAAAGCTGTGCACCTCTCTGGGGCTGAGCACAACAAATCGGCTGCTGCTGATGCCCCTGTTAAAGCTATGGAGAAATGAAGAAGAACGCAAAGGCCAGAGAACTGTTAGTTTGTATACCAGCACAAGTCAGATATATATGCATTTGTCCTCATGGTCTGAGGGCTGGATTGGTCAGACACAAGAAAGAAAAACGAAAGTTTTGAAGTCGAAACATCTCTGTGCATGCATTAATGAGAAGCTTACAGGAGTTGTTGAATGCCAGATTACCCTTTCAACTTCTGAGGCCGCTATATGTTTGGGAGCGTGCCATAAAAGTATGGCTGAAGACTAACATAGTACCATATGATAATGAATTAATTAATGAATTAAATTCACAATATAAATAGCACTCACAAAATATACTTGAATTGGAGCAGTGTGAATGCCAATATAGTATTCATGATGTGGTATATGAAACTATTCCATACAAAACACAGGAGAATGCATGTTGCTAAAACATAGCAGTAGTATTGCATTGTGGAAGTGAGCAACTACAGATTAGATATCAGTCTTAATGATACAATCAACTGTACTAGAGTAGAGCATCAGAGCTCCACCGTAGCAAAGAGCCAGCTTGAATAAATACTTTCGCTTGTGTTACCACCACCAAAGGTTTACATTTTTTGTTTGACTTTTACATATTAAACAGATAGCGCCAAAAGTAAATAATGAAGGAACGGCAAAGCTTCAAAATGAGCAGGACTGGGAGCAGCATGTGGGGAGAGAGCATAAATCAGTCTGATAACAGTGTGGGCAGGTCATAGCCACAGGCATTAATAATACACACATATACTAGAGTGTGGCGGTCTTCAAACCGCCTTCACAACAAAGCAGCTCCGTGAGGGAGCTCTTACTGGTCTGACCGGGTCCTACACACATACACACATGTGCACCTGTCCTAGGAGATTTATTTCAATAGACCACTGGACCTGTCATGCAACAAGTAAAAGGCTAGAAGGCTGGGAGGGAAAAGGACGGCTGAAAAACAAATCTCATTTCTGACCTGCCTGCACCACTGACTGAGATGCTGAGAGGTGTGCACACAGAGTCTGTGGAAGAGGAGAGTAAAAAGAAACGAGGAAGGAGACACTGATGTAGAGGTGGGACAAAAATGGCAACCACTGAGCTGAAAGAGGAGAGTAAAGGATGATAAAAACAGAACAGCAAACAGACCAGAATGACAGTGAGGAAATCTATGGTGCTAAAAGAGGATAGAAGGCTCTGGCTGCCTTTACAAAGACTCCTGCCCCCTTTTGAGACTTGGCTGGGTCTGTTGCCAACAAATGGCTTTTTCCAGTCTCCATCAGTGGAAGCAGATAGTCTGATACACAAAGCCTGCCCCTATCTACCTCTTGGCAATCAGTTCATCACACACTTAAATAGCGTTATAGTCTCGAAGAGGGATAGCGAAGAGATTGAAGACTGGCCAAAAAACAACTTGAAGAAGGTCAAATAAACAAAAGACAAATTTGAACTTCAAAAGAAAAAGCAGATCAGAGTATTTGAATGATGTGGTCAGGGTTTTTTCATGGTGCCGAATTCCTCCATGCTGAGTAAATGTTATCTGGCATTTTAAAGAAAAAAATTGGCATTTATTTTTGGGAGGGGGGGGGGGGGGGGGGGACATGTACAGTACTGCCTCTCATAGTTTTATTGATCCATCAAATAAACAGCTACCTACAGAACTCGCCTCATGTGGAAAAAGCCCAGATTGATATTTGGACAGCATATTATAAATCAACAAGCTTAAAATTGAATTGCACAAAATCAATTGCAGTTCACATCCCCCGTTGGCCATCTTTAATTCTCATCATAAATCCTCTTACTCACACACGCAGCGAAGGAGCTCATATTCACGCCTCAATGGGGGTCCGAGTTATGAGAAAGCCAGTAAAGTAGAGGCAGAGGACTTCACTTTGTGTGTCTGGTGTTAAGACAAACACAATATCTACAATTAACTAATTATTCTATTCCTTGCCAACTTGAACCATAAATTCACACTTTCAATTTTGGAAAACCATTTCATGGTACATGCTGATTGCAAGCCTGATACTTGCGCATTCAAATACAGTCTAACCCACATAAACAAACAGTGGGTGGTTTGATAAGTGAGAAAGTGAAATTTTTACAGCACTTTTCAGATATAACACATTGTCATTTTCCTATTTGTTTAGGTGGATTTTCATACAAAGGAAAGGTCAAAAATACTCAAAAATTCATCTTAGGTAATCATAAATTTAATGCAAGCCAACAATGTGGCCTTCTCATCAGTGTAAATAAAATATTGTTTTGCTGACATTAAGAACACTTCAGCTATCAAATATTTCGAGCCATTTAACCCGTGTATACAGCAGGTGAAACATCTTCAAAGGAAATAAACTTGACATAGGTACTGCAATTTATAGAGAGCCTTCAGCTCCAGACAGACATGTCAGACATCCACTGCTGTATTGCTACACTTGTGGTAATCTTACTGGTGGTATGATGCACATGCTTCAAAGGGTGTACTAAACTATGAATTGTGTAATAAAGGTGTATCAGTGGAAAACTGCATTAGTGAGGAGAATTGTAAACAGCAGCTACCCACCACCGATGCAAAGAACATTATGTAAATGAGATGCCCCAGTCCAGAGGAGAGAAATTGACGTGGGATCATGAAAGAACCATGTATGTGAAGCAAGTTTGTCCCCTGCTGCTGATAAAGAGGTACTGCACAACATAACGTTGTGTTTTAGAGATTGCTTTGATCCTAACGAGAAAGGAAATAAGTGATATGATAGTAATCAACGTATTTATTATAACGTGACAAAACCTGATACTTTTAGGAGTGTTGCTATTGTGCTGCAGATGGGAAAACTTTAGCCAACACAGCATGGGCAGATCTTTTACTATCTTATTGCCTTGTATTTAAACTACATTGACTTCAGGGGCTGAGACGCTACAGTATGTATGTTTGTATGTTTGAGAGGTGTTTAGTGACCCTCACATTCAAATAGTTTATCTGGCGAACCATGTTTCACAGCTATCCTCCGTTCACACTAAAGAGTCTCGATGTAACGTTAAATACGTAGCAATTAGTCATTTTTTAAACAGATTGACAATACACACAATTGCCAAACTAGGTGGATTTACAGCAGGTCCGATATTTGATGACGATATCAGTTCTTTCACTGCATTCTAACGACATAGCTAATGATACGGCTAACAGATAGCTAGCTTTCTCGTAGCTCGCAGTTTCTTCCCCAAACAACCACAAGAAATCACATGCACTTTCCAGGCTCATAATTCCAACTTACCATGCCTTCGATTTGGATTTGTTTGACTGGAGAGTCCAGGGTACCGCCTGTTGAAGCCATACCGGCATTAGATGATGAACCGGTCTCTTTGCGTGAAGCCATCTGTGAACTGCTGCACGCGGAAAGGAAGTGGGTTTCAGTGACTTCCGATGAGTCTCAGTTGGAAACAAGCGAAATAAGTCAAAGGTTCCGCCTATCGCAATGTTTGCAGTCGATGGCATGCTCTATTAATTACTGGGTGATACATTCTTACTCAATTGGTGATGGATACCAAACATGCAATTTCACACTAATGCTTGAAAGTACGAAACAATGTGTTGAAAAAGTATTTAAAACACTTTTATTTCCATTTTTCCAGATGTATCACAACTAGAAGTTATCCAAAGACTAAAAAGGTGAATATTGAACTTATTGTAACAAGTAGAATACCCAGTTACATAATGCAAAAAGGTGAATAAGCATAAACACAAAAAAACAAAAAAAAAAACGACATGAACTTGAATATTCAGACTGAATTTTACATCTTGACAACGCCAGAGGATCCATTAATGTTTCACAGATTAGCTTTTGCTTGTCATAAAATAGCATCTGCAACATGTAGGTGTGAGGGAATACACTTTGAATATACCAGTACCTTTTTATAAATCAGATGTACAGTGTCAGTACAAAGTTAAAACATAAAAATATAAAAAGGCCTTCCGTAACAACATTTTAATACAAGAGGGACAATGATAAAACATGTTGGAATGAGAAGCCCGTTTTAATTAAAACCTGGTGACTGGAAAAGTAGCTTTATAAATATAGTCATTCTACCTCATTTTGAACCACATGAATACTGCATGATTCCACTTGTAGTTACAGTAAATTCCTTTTTATAAATTTGCTACCCCTCTAACCCACCACATTCAACACATTCCAAAATGGGCCGACAGGAAAGCAAAATAAAAAAGGCAAACATTTGAGTAATTTGTCTGCAAGTAAAAGTAGAGATTGTTCTTCCAATGTTTAAACAATGTGAAATCTTGGTCCAGCTGTGGCGATGATGTCACTGTAGGGCTGAGATTGGGAGACCTCAATAGCTTGTTGCTTCTTGAGAACCAGAAAACTATAAAACTTTGCAGCTGCCTGTTTTTTGTTGTTATTTCGGCACAATTCAAGCAGACTGACCGACTCTGCTCCAGTCTTTGCCATGACACGCTGAAAAAAAAAAATAAAAAAAAACATACCCAAGTTTTAAAAACCAAACAATCTTGATTAGAGTTTGAAGTCTTTTTTTTCCTCAAAGCAGTTCAGTACCTGCAGACCATGAAGCATCTGTTGTGTCCTCTTGTTCCACCTTTTCTCCTCCTGGTCTTGGTCTCCAGCCTGACCCTCCTCATCCTAAAAATACACAGTGGTCACTTTATCAGTCTCATTGCCTTATCATTTTATATCAGCAAAATCCACACTGACCTCTTCTTCGTCGCTATCATCCTTCTTGTCTTTACTCTTTTCCCCAAGAAGGTCGAGCTCAGGAACAAGCTGGGTTAGGTTGACACTGCTTTCCTCTGGGGGCAGATCCACCTGAGGCATGTCCAACCTCTGGGACAACATTGAGCGATCAGCTTGTTGCTGGTCCAAAGAGCTCATCTGTTGGAACATAAAAATAAAACAATTAAAAAAAGAATTCCATTTCAAACTTTGACATTTGCAGGTAAATATCATCCAAATGTAATACGCAGTCTGGGGCATTTAAAAGCGCCTTTTTCACCAGTGAATAATTCATCTTGGATCCAGCCATTAATTTCCTTAGGAATGGGGCCGAATTATTTCTGTTTGTGGAAGGAAGATAGCTTTTGCGCTTGCTGCCATACCTTCCATTCTGTGTTGTGTAGGAAGAAATGATTCGAGTGCACACAGCAGGATGGATGTTGCCATGCTAAGGGAACAGTGTGCCTTCAGGTGTGCCATTGAAGCTTATACAATTTCACCAAATTGGTCCAACTTTTAGGTGATGGTTGAAAAGATATGATTGCAGAAACTAACAGCCAAAATGAGTTCTCCAGAGCGGAAAAGGTAAATGTCTATTGTGAGATCAATAACCTTTTTATGAGATGAGAGCTTCCTTAGCAAGAGGATACAAAGCTCTGTCACATGGGAGGAGCTCAGGAGTTGAGCTGCTGCTTCTCCAGATGCTTGAGCTAAGGTAACTCAAGCATCTGTTTCGGAAGCCACAAAAAGTGAGCATGGATGATGAAGAAAAATAATAAATCACAAAATCTACGATTAGAGTTTATCAGAAAAGGAAAATGATGAATGATCCGACATGAAAACATTAAGACTTTGTTGTTATCTTATTATCACTACTATCTGATTGATCTTCAATGAGACAGGTGTGCACAAAACTACACTGATTTAAGTTTTTTTTTTTTTTTTTTATCTTACCGGCAGTGCGTCCTTTTCAAGAGTCTTGCGTTTAACTCCACGAGGAGTGGAAGGAGGAGGCATGGCAGTCTCATCTAAAGTCGTTCTGCTGCCCTCCATTGCAGAGTGTGCCAACATGCTGGGCTCCTCCATAATAGTTTGGTCTACAGTGAAATACAATATTGTGAAATTAAAACAAGAAAAACAGTATTTTAAAGTATGAATTGCAATTGAAATGCAAGATTCAGAGTAATGACAATAAAACAATTTCTTACCTATGACATCCCTGTGCTGACCCATAACTTCTTCCCTGGGCACCTCTGGATTCTCCAGTTCTTTAAGAATCTCATCCAGACTATCTGCTTCCCCACCCTTCCTCCTCTTTCTCAGCTCATCTGGCACCAAAGGAGTCAGGCATCGTGTAAACATCTGAGTTAAAACAAAGGGTTAAGATATTAAGGCAATTGCATATGTGAATAAATGAACATTTATCATGTTATGTCATTTTTATAGGTAAAGTAACATGCCTATATAAACTAGTGTATTTAAACAATCCTTCGATGCTTGGCATCAATAAGAAAGACCAAGGACAAGTATTTTAAACTTCTAACCTTGAGCAGTCTGCCGTTCCAGAGAGGCTGAGCAGGGAGAGAGAAGAGTTTTTCAACTCCTCCAGTTTCCTTCCACATCATAAGTTTCTTTGTGGGAGGTGCAAGATCAAGAGTGGTGACAATGTCTGAATAGTCTGATAACTGAGCCCTGATGGTTTTACTGTCCAACTCCTTCACACTGTCCACGATCAGCTTTCTCTTGCGCTTAGCCTTGGTCTCCTTAACTGAGAAGTGGTGGTATAACATTCAAATTTAGAACAGACAATAGTTTACATGTTACAAAAGGAGTTGATGCGATCATTACCTGTGATGTCAATAGGCTCCAATGCAAAAGCTTCTTCCTCATTATGAACCAAAGTGGTCTGTTCTGTTTGATCCGCCATTGCTGGAAGAGGCTCTGCTGGACCAGAGTCTGGGCTGTCTGGACCCGCTATGAAACAAAAATAAAATTCATTCATTTTCATTCCCTTTATGAATCCGTTTCTGGGTTAAATTAACACAGAATGTTGCATTTACCATACACATAAGTTATACTTACGAGACTGAAGATTATCAAAGTCATCTTCATCATCTCCATGGTCAGGGGGCATCATGACACTGTCCGTGATCGCTGGAGGGTCATCAAAAATGCCACCTCCATCTTCAGAGCTCAACAGTTTATCAACTAATAAAACCAAAATATTCAGTAAATTTAAAGTCACAGCTTCACAGCCCACATGTAGATCAAAACTTACCAAGCATACCACCATCACTGTTGCCCAAAGAGGCATCCCCAAAGTCATCATACTCCAAATGGTTGGATTTATCAGGGAGATTTGCAGGTCCAGGCTCTGCTTCCAGAAGAAGGTTTGAGGCTGTGGCCCCATGCATAATGTCCTCCTCAAATGTGCTGGCATCACGCATCATCTCCCGCTCATCCATTCCAAAGTCGGCTAAAAAATGAATGGAAATGTAATGAAAAAGTTCAACCCCTATGGTGTCGGCAGCCGAAGTTTGTCCTACCAAAGTCATTGTCCTGCAGTAGGTTGAGATTTCCGACATCTTCCCTCATAGTGATTTCTTCCACTCTACTCTGGTTCAGAGTGAACTGTTGAGCCACATCGATGTCACTGAAGGAGAAAACAGCTTAGCCAGAAAGAATATTTTATATAAATGTAAAACAAATCAATTAAACCTACTCCAAGTCAGGAAGAGGTTGGTCGAAGTCATGGAACTCCTCAGGTAAGGTGATGGCGTTGTACGCCGCTTCTCGATTTTCCTCAGGTAAATCCACAACACCTGAATGGACAACATTCCATCACTTCACATGGCATGAATGTGCGTTTCATTCAACCCAAAGGTCTTTCTTTACCTGGCCTGAAAGCCATCTTGATCTTGATAAAGGCTTCATTACAGTCAGCCAGCAGGTACTTTGCTTTTCTGTGGTAGATTCTCACTACTCCAAGGAGTAAGTGACCTGATGTACGCAAAGCCATTTTTACCTGAGGGGAAAGGCAAACAACCATAATGTAACAAATACAGGGAAATCAATATTAACAGACTTAAAAAAAAAAAAAAGGTCAGAAAAAGCATTTGTACCTTGGGTGAAATGATGCTCTCCACACTGCTTTCAAGGTTGCATTCAAACACATGAGCCTTGGTTAGCTTCTTGTCCCAATGGGCCGCCAGCCAGATCTTGGCTAGCGGCCCACGTTTACTGAGGACAAAGTGGGCGTAAAACATTGCCCTGGATGTCCTAACTCACTCCTTCACTGGGGGCAAAGTTATCTGGAGGAAGGAGGGCACATATTACAGAAATAAAGAGTACAGCAGAGATACAAGATCATAATATCATAATTACTTCATTGAGAAATTTAGAAAAGTCACTTAATAACAAGGGCCCCTTATTAGTGAACTTTATTCTGAACTTGGGGCAATAATGGCAAGAGGTTACTATGGCCTACCATGAAATGGAAAAACAAGTGATATTTTAAACAATGAACTCAAAACAGTCTTTACCTTCGGTCCAGTTTTGTTCAAGCCAAAGATAACTGAACATATTTTGTTTAGAAAAAAAAAAAAAAAAAAACCAGTGAAGCAGGGGTCTCCACACTTTTTAGTGAGAGAGCCACTTTAGTTCACCAGACTTGTCCAGGGGCCAACAACCCACACTGTAAAACTGTTTTGCATGTATTCGGGCTGTTCGGAGCTCTGTAATTGGAGATGATGGAACTGAAGTTGGCTGAATGACAAATTAGAATCTCACCAGTTTGATGACACTGAACTTGTGCGTATAATCAAAGACTAGTCTATGTTAGCAAGACAGAGGGCCACAAGGAATAACATACAGGGTCGCAATTGGCCCCCAGGCCTTAGTTTGGACATGCCTGCAGTAGAGGAATTACCAATAAAAGTAATAATGTGTTTACATTTACTGAGGTATTGTGACCAAAGAATTATAAAATTAACAACTTTAAAAGAAACAAACTTTCCCCCAAGTGAACAATAAAGGCAGCTTTTTATTGGCCTACTGTAAACGAAACAAGAGCTTGAGTACGCATCCATTTTGCAGTAAATAGTCCGAGCTACTTTTAAATGTTATACGGCGAACACAGATGTGATAGTGCTGTATGCCAAATACAAATGAGGCATGTAAATAACGGAAAGAAACATGATCCCAGTAAAGCTCTGTCCGTGATGCATCGTTACTGTATAGCTAGATAACCAGCAGTAGGTAGCAGGGATTTCAGCTTCGCATTTCATATATTATACGCTACAGTTTATTTATAATAACTGAATAAGGTAAATATTCACAATGGAAACGGACCTGATTTTTCCTCCTCCGGAAAATGAACATGTCAAACCAGGAGCCCAGCTCGGTCAGATCCGCCTCTCGCTGACAAACGCTGGGAATGAAGCTAACGCATTGCTAATCACTATTTACAAAATATTGGACATCCTCCCAGGCAATCTGGTCATAATATAGATTTTACTTGCCAGTATAATGATGCAGTGTACTTCACACATTGTAAACCTACTCGATCCATTGAATGTAGATTTATAAGGAAAAAGCGCCAAAAGAGAACTCCATCGCCTCACTAAACAGTCGGCGCCATTAGAAGGGAAACGAGCCGCAGGAAAAACATGCTCATAGTGCAGAGTTACTACATGATAGTTAATGCATTGCTTTAGTTCCGTTTAGTTTATTTGTAAAACATGGGACAATACACACACAGGAAAACCTCCTCCTCGGACTATGTGACTTTTTTCCTGCAGCACTAGAGGGTTGTTATCTGGTGGCTAAACGCTTCTCTGTGAGGAGAGGCCGCAGAGAATAAAAAGGGCCGCGCACATCACTTCTGTGCAATAAAATACTTATAACTGCGCAGAAATAATCTCACCGTAAAACTACTTACCAGTGAGACCCCCGTTTGAGTGAAACCCCAAAGATTATGTGATTTCTCCCCGCAGTTTCTTCCCTGTTGTACTCATTAAAACAGCCAAGATGGCGCCAGCCGCCTTCCTCCCGCTCAGCGCTGTCCTTTTAAAATGTGCAGGATGTTTACAGTCAAACATGGCGGGGGAGGAGCCACAACTGCCTCTCCACAATCCTGGCATTATGGCATTTCGTCACGGAGTAAGCTAGCCTGCTAGCATGTGTTATGTATAGAATGCATGGATATTTATTTATCGATTTTACAAATGTTTGCTACTTTGCTCCAGCGATGTTTAATACATGGTCGTCATATCTAACCCCAACCATAATATCAACCAAAATAAAAGTTCCCACTTCTCTGTTAGCCTAACCCGATTGTGACTTCATCAAAATTCAAAAATACTGGACGAAATACCAACATTATAGAGAGTCCCCAAAAGGACGTTATACCCGGGGCGATAGGGGGCGCACCTGCACACAATCTGATTACAAAGACCTTGCATTTTGGGGTATTTTATCAAGGTGCACTTATAGTGGGGCAAACAAGTGTTTAGTTAGCAACCAATTTTGGAAGTTCTCCCACTTAAAAAGATCAGGGAGGCCTGTATTTATCATCATAGGTATACCTCTACTATGAGAGACAGAATGAGAAAAGTCCAGAATATCACATGGTCTGATTTTTAAATAATTTATTTGCAAATTATGATGGAAAATAACTATTTGGTCAATAAAACAGTTAATCTCACTTGTTTATATACCCTTGGTTGGCAATGACAGAACTCAAACGTTTTCTGTAAGTCTTCACAAGGTTTTCACATACTGTTGCTGGTATTTTGGCCCATTCCTCCATGCAGGTCTCCTCTAGGCAGATACAGAGACATTTGGCCCCCTCTGAAATTTCATGGAGGCAGGGCTAATTGTCGGCCGGAGCTAGACTAAGAATTGTGAGGGTAAATAATGCAATTTCAATGTAGGAACTTGCCTAAACTAATTCATGGGCAATACTTGTTTTCAAAGGTAGAAAACAACTCTGAGTGTGATCTGTTGAACAATGTTGTAGTATTAGAAGCTCAAAAAAGTATTTCTTACATACATATTTACTCATCAGCCTATTGAGGTCCATCCATCCATTTTCTTCCGCTTTATCCGTTGCCGGGTCGCGGGGGCAGCAGTCTAAGCAGAGACGCCCAGACTTCCCTATCCACACACACCTCCTCCAGCTCGTCCGGGGGGACCCCAAGGCGTTCCCAGGCCAGCTGAGAGACATAGTCTCTCCAGCGTGTCCTGGGTCTTCCCCGGGGCCTCCTCCCGGTGGGACGTGCCCGGAACACCTCCCCAGGAAGGCGTCCAGGAGGCATCCTGAACAGATGCCCGAGCCACCTCAACTGGTTCCTCTCGACGTGGAGAAGCAGCGGCTCTACTCCGAGCTCCTGCCGTGTGACTGAGCTCCTCACCCTATATCTAAGGGAGCGCCCAGCCACTCTGCGGAGAAAGCTCATTTCGACCGCTTGTATCCGCGATCTCGTTCTTTCGGTCATTACCCAAAGCTCATGACCATAGGTGAGGGTGGGAACGAAGATTGACCGGTAAATCGAGAGCTTCGCCTTTCGGCTCAGCTCCCTCTTTACCACAACGGTCCGATACAGAGACCGCATCACTGCGCACGCTGCACCGATCCGCCTGTCAATCTCACGCTCCATTCTTCCCTCACTCGTGAACAAGACCCCGAGATACTTGAACTCCTCCACTTGAGGAAGGACCTCTCCACCCACCTGGAGAGGGCAAGGCACCTTTTTCCGGTCGAGCACCATGGCCTCGGATTTGGAGGTGCTGATTCTCATCCCAGCCGCTTCGCACTCGGCTGCAAACCGTCCCAGTGCATGCTGCAGGTCCTGGTTCGTTGGAGCCAACAGGACAACATCATCCGCAAAAAGTAGAGATGAAATCCTGTGGTTCCCGAACCGGACCCCCTCCGGCCCCTGGCTGCGCCTAGAAATTCTGTCCATAAACACAGTGAACAGAACCGGTGACAAAGGGCAGCCTTGGCGGAGGCCAACATGCACCGGGAACAGGTCTGACTTACTGCCGGCAATGCGAACACAGCTCTGGCTCCGGTCATACAGGGACCAGACGGCCCTCAGCAGAGGACCCCGGACCCCGTACTCCCGGAGGACCCCCCAAAGGACACCCCGGGGAACACGGTCGAACGCCTTCTCCAAATCCACAAAGCACATGTGGACAGGTTGGGCGAACTCCCATGAACCCTCGAGTATCCGATGGAGAGTATAGAGCTGGTCCAGTGTTCCGTGACCGGGACGAAAACCACACTGCTCCTCCTGAATCCGAGATTCGACCATCGGACGTAGCCTCCTCTCCAGTACCTTGGAGTAGACCTTACCGGGGAGGCTGAGGAGTGTGATCCCACGATAATTGGAACACACCCTCCGGTCCCCCTTCTTGTAGAGAGGGACCACCACCCCGGTCTGCCACTCCATTGGCACCGCCCCCGATCGCCACGCGATGTTGCAGAGACGTGTCAGCCAAGACAGTCCTACAACATCCAGAGACTTTAGATAGTCAGGACGGATCTCATCCACTCCCGGCGCCTTGCCACCAAGGAGGCTGCCAACCACCTTGGTGACCTCGGCCAGGGAGATGGAAGTGTTTGCCCCAACATCCTCAGCCTCTGCCTCCTGAACGGAGGACGTGACGGGGGGATTGAGGAGAACCTCGAAGTATTCCTTCCACCGCCCGACAATATCCTCAGTCGAGGTCAGCAGCCCTCCACCCGCACCATACACGGTGTTGGCAAAGAACTGCTTCCCCCTCCTGAGGCGCCGGACGGTTTGCCAGAACCTCTTCAAGGCCGACCGATAGTCATGCTCCATGGACTCTCCGAACTCCTCCCAGTCCCGGGTTTTTGCCTCTGCAACAGCCCGGGCCGCGGCACGTTTGGCCTGCCGGTACTGGACAGCTGCCTCAGGAGTCCCACGAACCATCATTGCTCGATAGGACTCCTTCTTCAGCCTGACGGCATCCCTTACTGCCGGTGTCCACCACCGGGTTCGGGGATTGCCGCCGGGACCAGCACCAGAGACCTTGCGACCACAGCTACGAGCCGCCGCATTGGCGATAGAGGAAGAGAACATGGTCCACTCGGACTCGATGTCCCCCTCCTCCGCCGGGACCTGGGAGAAACTCTCCCGGAGGTGTGAGTTGAAAGTTCGTCTGACAGGGGGCTCAGCGAGACGTTCCCAGCAAACCCTCACTATACGCTTGGGTCTGCCAGGTCTGACCGGCTTCTTCCCCTGCCAGCGGATCCAACTCACGACCAGGTGATGATCGGTTGACAGCTCCGCCCCTCTCTTTACCCGAGTGTCCGAGACACGCGGTCGAAGGTCAGATGATACGACAACAAAGTCGATCATCGACCTCCAGCCTAGGGTGTCCTGGTGCCACGTGCACTGGTGGACACCCTTGTGCTCGAACATGGTGTTCGTGATGGACAGGCCGTGACTGGCACAGAAGTCCAACAACTGAACACCGCTCGGGTTCAGATCAGGGGGGCCGCTCTTCCCGATCACCCCTCTCCAAGTGTCACTGGCATTTCCCACATGGGCGTTGAAGTCCCCCAGGAGAATAACGGAGTCCCCGGGCGGTGCACTGTCCAGTACCCCTCCCAAGGACTCCAAGAAGGCCTGGTACTCTGCACTACCGTTAGGCCCGTAGGCCGTCGAAACAGTGAGAGACTTGTCCCCCACCCGGAGGCGGAGGGACGCGACCCTCTCATTCACCGGGGAGAACTCCAACACGTGGCGGCTGAGATGGGGGGCAATGAGTATGGCCACCCCAGCTCGCCGCCTCTCCCCGCGGGAAACACCAGAAAAGTGGAGCGTCCAACCCCTCTCAAGGAGTTGGGTTCCAGAGCCCAAGCTGTGTGTGGAGGTGAGGCCGACTATCTCTAGTCGGTATCGCTCAACCTCCCCCACAAGCTCGGGCTCCTTCCCCCCCAGTGAGGTGACGTTCCACGTCCCAAGAGCCAGATGTTGGGTGTGTGGACTGGGTCGTCGAGGTCTCCGCCTTCGACCGCTGCCCAGTCCTCGCTGCACCACGCCACCACGGACCCCTCTGCAGGTGGTGGGCCCACAGGAGGGACTGCCCACGTCATCCCTTCGGGCTGAGCCCGGCCGGGCCCCGTGGGCTAAGGCCCGGCCACCAGGCGCTCGCTTGCGAGCCCCGACCCCAGGCCTGGCTCCAGGGTGGGGCCCCGGCTGCGCCATGCCGGGCGACGTCACGGTTTTCGTTGTCGTGCTGTCCATGGTTGGCTTCGGACTGCGCTTCGTCTGACTTGTCACTTGAGACCTGTCTGCCATGGGAGGCCCTACCAGGGGCATGAAGCCCCAGACAGCATAGCTCCCAGGATCATCCGAGTGCTCAAACTCCCCCACCACGTTAAGGTGGCAGTCCAAGGGGGAAAATTAATAATCATGGAAGCAGATTTTCTTCATAAGCCTGCATCTGTTGCGCTAATTTGAGTACCAGCTGATCATAAACCCGGTTTCCACAAGCCCTACTTGGCCCTTCTCGGCTCGATTGGGAGTGTTGCCAATCATGTTTAACCGGTACCAGGTGCTTTATTACTACCTGCTTGGCCCTGATTCTAGCCGGTCCGAGCTGGTACTCACTAGTATGTTGAGAGTGGGTTGCTAGGATAAGGTACCAGACACAAAAGCGCAATGGAAATTGCAACCAGGTTGAGCAGAGCAGGGCCCAGTTAGGGGCAGGTGGAAACGGGGCTAGATGTGACCTCTCTGTCAAAGCATACGGACATTATTTACCCAAAATAGGTATTCAAGCAGGGTGTGACAGTAGCTCAGTTGGTAGAGCATTCGGTTTTGGGCCTGAAGGTCGTGGGTTTGAGCCCACTGTAAGACCTACTTCATGACTCCCATTGATGACTGCTGTCGTTGTGTCCTTTGGCAAGACACTTAACCCCACTTTGCCTGAAGCCCTCACTGAAATATCTAGGCTCCTGTGGACTCACCACCTGCAGGAAGATCAATGAGGGGCTGATGCTATGTATATTGGGTGCAGCTCTGACTGCCATCACCTGACCCAGAAATGGATTAAGGGGAAGAAAATGGATGGATGGTATTCAAGCATTCTGTTCGCACACATCATGGTTCTCTGGATCACACAACAATTATTATACAAGTATACAGATGGATTACACCGCCATTTTGGCTCATACATCATTAAATCTGCCAAGTGATCGATGGGGACTTTAATGACTAATTACTTTCACAAGAGAAGTAATTTTTCACTTAGACTAGTCGGTTATTCTTCTGATTTAGCGTAGATCCGCTCAATGATGTATTGATCTGGACCAGATTTTTGGTGTTTACTTTGATTTATCTGAGAGCTAAGTTTCTATTCTGAAGACACACAACACAATGCATCATGCTCTCATCATATGGCACAGTTTTGAGCTCCATCTGTTACATAGATCATTTTTATCCAGATTGATTGGCGTTGTCAGCTGTTATGGACGGATGTTTTATCACAGCTTCTACAGTGAGTCACTAAACTTGAACATCTGATGGGTCTACCTACAAAAACATAGCCTATAATTATTGACAGCTGGGCATGATAAACTAGATTTTTCTTTGACATTATTAACATGCTGTGTTGGATACTGATGTTTTAGTCATATTTTTTGTTATGAGGTAATTTCAAAACTGCATGGTGCTCAATGTCTTCTCAAACCTTGAGAAAAATTCTAATGTAAAGGTAATAATTTTCCCATTTATACAGAAATCCTAGCTTGGCACTGTCTAATTAATAGGCATTCTTTGCAGCTCTTCTAATCAAGTGTCCTCTATCTGCGGTTGAATTTTCTTTTATAGCAGGCACTGTGCGCATAATGTTGCCCTGTAATCAAAATGCCAGAAATTGGTCTGATAAATAACCACAACATTCTTGGTGTGAATATGAGATGTAAAACGTTTCTTTGTGCACAAAAAGGAGCTCTGGACATGAAAAAGACAAGTGAAAAGTTGAATTGAATAGGCTGCTTTATTACACAACATAATTGTCTATGTTTTATAGCAGCAGATAAGTGGCCCTGCTGTCATATTTCAGAAGAGCTGAGTGCATATTTGCTTTGCTGCTCTTTGGCTTTCTGGGATTTTTGTGGAGAGGGAGGTTGAGGGGAATCTTTCCTGTGGCAGTGGCTCCGGCGGAGTTGGCAGCTTTTGCATCCTGGGATCATCAGAGATGGATGCAGTTATTTATGCAGCATGCCTAAACCAATCACTCTAACACTGATTTTTGTAAACACTGCAGCGTCTTGGCTTTGCACAAGGTTCCACACATGTAAAGGAAACTAAGCTGCAGTAATTTGGCAGTCCCTTGTGAACCCAGTACATTCTGATACACTGCAAAACAAGACCACAGCATATTACAGATTTTTGTTATGTAACACCCTTATTCAAAATGATTCTCAACACTCCACAAAGTGACAATTACATTTGATGGTGCTTGTCACTCAGGTTAAAAGTATCCTCCTTAGTGTCAGTAGACCAGAATGCGTAAAAAACTACTTCCAGAGGTACTGAAAACATCAAAAGTATATCTTTGTTCCTTTACGCTCTTTAATATAGATGCAAATGATTTCAGGAAACAAATTACCGAATATCTCATTTTTTATTGTTGGATATTTCATCTCTTAAAAAAACGTTTACAAAACATTGATTTTTCCTCTAATGTTTCACTGCTACAAAAGAGAGCAGAAAAATGTCTGACAAATCATGTGTGTAAAAATGTATTTAACTTGACACAACCAGGAAATGGAAATTCTTAGATATCACAAGTTCAGTAAACCAAAGCAGTGGAGCATCTACCACTATGAAGTCCGGAATGTCTTTGCAGTTGTGTAGTGATAAGACCTGTCTCCAGTGTTTAAAAGTAATAAAACAGTTATAAGTTACACATTCTAAATGAAAATTAACAATTCTACATGAAACAAGAGAAAACACACAAGATTTTCTTCTGAAGGCACATCAATATATAACCCCATGCCCTCTGAAACAGAAACCAGAAAAAAGTGATGTATTAATATTGCACCAAGTTCATTTTGAAATTGATCCATGATGAGGGTTTTCGAATCACAGATTTGGAGATTGTTTATTTACTCTCACCAACACGCTCTCATAATCAAAAAGCTCTCTGGGCAGTGCAGTTAGTGTTATATTAAAGGAACAAATGTAGCCCGTGTTCTTACTGGTTAAAACAGTTTCTACCTTGGCAGTGTGTTTTAAACCGTGCACTCAAAGTATGACTTTGTCTGAAAGATTCACATTGGATCTAAAAAAACACTTTCTGCTTTGCGTTATGCCATTTTTCTAGTTCATACCAGGCTTACGGCATTGTCCAGTGTTTCGTATTGAGAAGGTCGTTAGTTTCTGTCAAGCACTTCTTAGTGAAGCCACTGCAAAATTAGTCACTGGGCAAATGGGGGATAAGATAAAACTAATGATTTTGCATTTAATTTTCTATTCACAATCTTGTCCAACACAATATGAAAAGTATGTTTACAGAAGACCTGGCAATGCTCCCTTAAAAGGCAACTTAATTCATAGTATTCATTGGGAGAGCAAGTCTTCAAATGTTATGTGGATAGGATTTTTAGAATACAATTGAACTCCACTGACCTTTAATCCACAGAATACTAAAAATGCGCTCATAAATGTCATCATGGTTTCAATTAAATGGTAAGAACCTTGGGAATTATATATAAAGATTTAAAATCCAAAGTAGCATAACTCACTTTACAAACACCAGAAGAAAGACTTCAGGCACTGCGAAAATAAACTCAACACAACTTGTCATTTTGGTGATAGAAGGGTTATCATTGTCCCGTACACACCCCTCCATTATTTACAACACCACAGGGTAGTGCTGTCTATTTGGTTTACAAAAATAGTTCATTACATCCAAAATAGTGTTATCTTCATTGTTCATCAGCAATAATATTTTGTCGACAGAGACTTTGAGAAACCTGTGCATAGTGTGCATTCTTTCATTGTTTCGTGGAGGTTTGTGTTTAAACTTTATAGAGTATTTGATAGTGTAGCTGTTTCTCTAAATGATCCCAAATACATGGCATGCTGGAAGAGCCATCTGTAGATTCAGACATTCATTTTAGTACATTTTCTCTCTCTTATTTAGACCAATCCAAGTAAATTTGATAATAAAAAGTTTGTGCGTTTTGGGAGCCCGCCCCTCTGCCCCAAAAAAAGTCCATAGAGCAGGGGGGGCTCTGGTGGGTTATAGCCGCTCAATGTCTCTGTATTTCTTCCTCAGTATCGACACTTGATCTTTAAATAGGACCGGGTCAAGCCTCATCTGAGAGTGGACCAGCGGCATTGTGCCAAACCAGCTGGCAAACTTGTTCATGCAGGTCTGACGCTGGGCAAAGTGGTCCGGGTCTGCCCACCGAGATGCACGGGAAGTCTGTGCAACGGAAATGGGGATTCAGATTAAAGATTCATCATAAATCAACTTGAGTTTAGAAACCATTTTGAGTAATACCTGTCCCATCATTGTCTCTTTATATTGTTTCTTTTGGGTGACTTTAATCGGTGGGAGCTTCGTTACTGATGATACCAAAAAATTCATCAGAATATCCTCACAATTTGACATCTGGTCAACCATGGTTCTCAAACTTGCCGGTAGATATGAGGTGTACAAGTAGTGATAGTACCTAATGGGACAAAAAAAACATTGAATTACATTACATTATAGGCATATTTTTATTGTGTGGTTTGTAGTCATACTTATGATAGATAGCAGCTCCAGTCAGAACCATAGAGTAGTCGTTTGTCCATTTGGAAGTGTAGCCCCAGCGTTCTTTATTGCCGTCCCAGAAGTGGCTGCGAGCTGGGTAGCCAACAATGCGATCTGGAAAACTCTGCCACACGATAAAGGCAAAATCCACCTGGTTTTAAGTGCAGAAAATATTAGTATGACGCAAATAAATGAGGAGTATTGTGGCTTTATTTCGTGAATATATTGACCTCTGTAGTTGAGAGGACAGTGTCTTCATCCAGGCTGAGGACCGCATCAGTGGGAATGGTGTCATAGGGGAGGAAACGACTGCTTATCACCTGTGCATTCATTCATTCAAAAAAAGAATAACCAGTGTAAATATAATAAAAATGTTCAACCACTTGGCTAAGATCCCATATCAATGCGAATAGGGCTTGGGAAATGAATTCACTGTACATCTGTATGACATGAAGCAGTGTTAGCAGTTTGTTGCCGTCTATTTGCACTGTTATGCCTTTTCCCTTGATGTTAACAGCACAGTCAGCTACATTCCTAAGCTGACACAACATCGACAGAAGCAGTGCATTTTACAGAAGAGTAACACTAGCGCGAGACTACATGGAGGTGTAGTTGTTTATCCAGATAGAAAAAAGTGCCTTTTTACCATGCTTTTTAAAAATTGCATTTTATCGGCAAATCATCTAATAATAATCAACGTTATGTTTAGTGTTTTTAAATCCGCACTCAAGCCAATGTACTTATCAAAGCTAGCTCAGGCACAGACTTTAGATTTAATTGGCCTTTTTCTTCTTCTTAAAATAATAATTGTTGATTGTTTCAGTTTCAGTTTAGTTTATTTTGAAACATGTGTGCATACTTCCTACATAAGCCGTAAAACAAAACCAAAATTTCTCATCCATTCACATGTTCAAAAGGGAGTAGGAAGAAGCAAAAGCTTATATGGTCCTACCCCTCATTTACAAAATACGTTATTTATGTGGAAACAAGGGAGATGGTGCAAAATTTACAAGTGTACAAACAATCAATAACATATTTCTCTGAAAAAGGTAAATACAAGATTAAATGTGTGTATGTAGTTTAACGCATACACACACACATATCTATACACATATACATACATACTCATACGTACATATACACACCATTATACTCTTCATGTGTTCGGTCATTGAGTTTACTGGGCAAAACCTCATTCTTCTTTACTGTATTACTCAATTAGTTGTTTTCTATATAAACTTTTGAAGTGCAGAAAGGTGCTGCTTTGTTTTAATTCCTCTGACAGACTGTTCCATAGTTTAACGCCACCAATAGAAACATTGAAACCTTTCATAGTTGTTCTTGCATATTTTACTTTAAAGTTTAGCTTTCCTCTTTGATTGTATTTCCCTTCCCTCTCTGAGAACAATGCCTGAATGTGACCCGGAAGTAACTTATTTCGAGAATTTAACAATATCAATGAACTTGAGCCTTCTCATGTGTAGGAACAGAACATTTGTGTGATGTTGATAACTTTTATTGTTTACTATTCTTACAGATTTTTTCTGCAGGATTGTGACCGGATGGATATTTGTTTTGTAGGTGTTACCCCACACCTGTCTCGTGATACCATGATTGTTTACGCCAGCAGGAAAAGATTCAAATTGCATAATGTAGGTTGCCTTGACTGTACCTTGCTTTCCCCTTCGATAACAATAACAGGGACAGTAGTGGCAGGCCAGCGCTGTTTGGCAGGAAGAGGCTTGTCACAGTTCCAAAGAACAATCACCTAGTGCAATGAAAAATACAACATGTAGAGAGAGTTTTATGTGTCAGTCTTATTTAAAAATGCAAAAGTAATTCAAACCATATTCAGTAATGTCAGGAGTCTCAGATTCGAGTGAGGTCATGAAGAGATTGGAAGTTACCTGAGCACAGTACTGAGACTTGGCCACAGCAGTAAGGAGCTTCATGACCGGCTGAGACTGCGACACCAGTGGGGTTACAACGTGGATGATGGCTGTAAATTTTGGGTATGGCTTAATACCTGCAATAACAAAAAAGACCTATAATGTTAAGAAGAATTTCAGTCCAACAACTGAGTCTCGATAATACATGAATACATAATACTTGATCATGCCTCTATTTTTCAGGCAGTAAGTACTTCCAGAGTACTTCAGGCAGTTAGTACTTCCATATACTCTTTTGGCGTGACTAAATATGGAAGTGAGTCCCTTTTGGAGTGACTATGGACTTACTAACTAAATACAATTAAAGTGATCCAGTCATAGATTGTCATATGTAGCATACAGAAGCATGGCATGTCCTCTTTTAATGTTTTTTTAATATAGTTAGATGATGAGTCATAAATGTAAATGTTCTTTTTTTTTTTTTTAAGATGTACTCTATTTTCTATTGAGACTATATCTAAAATTACATTTGACAATATTATCTATTGAATTATTCTCTGCCAACTTCTATATCTGTAATAATTATTATTAGGCCTGTAAAGGAAAAAAGTGCCAGTAAATCCAATCCCCTTGTCAACAGCATACCCAATATCAAGCCAAATGAATAAGGCCGGAGTAAATCAAAGCATAGTTTAATTCAATGTTCTGACGCAGCAGCTGAAGAGTGATTGACAGCGCCTCTGACCAAGCACAATTGACGTTTGCCGACGTCAGATTGTTTTGGTATCTACTCGGCCCGGCTAGAACCAGGGCCAAGCAGTTACTAAACAAGTACCGGGTAGCGGCTGAAGCGGGCCGGTGGAAACGCCTGCAAACCGGGGAGAGTCGAGTAGAGCCCGTGGAAACGGCCCAATAAACCTTCCAGGGGTCTCTTCCCCGGGGTCTCTTCCCCGGGGTCTCTTCCCCGGGGTCTCTTCCCCGGGGTCTCTTCCCCGGGGTCTCTTCCCCGGGGTCTCCTCCCCGGGGTCTCCTCCCCGGGGTCTCCTCCCCGGGGTCTCCTCCCCGGGGTCTCCTCCCCGGGGTCTCCTCACAGTGGGACATGCCTGGAACACGTCTCAAGGAGGCATCTGGAAAAGACGCCTGAGCCAGTTGAGTTCATTCAACTGGTTCCTCTCGACATGGAAAAGCGGTTCTACTCTGAGCTCCTCCCGTGTGACTGAGCTCCTCACCCTATCTCTAAGGAAGCGCCCAGTCCTCCACTCTGCGGAGGAAGGTCATTTCATTTAGGTAGCTCATGACCCTAGGTGAGCAGGATGTTGTAAAACAAAAGTAGATGGCTACATGCCCATACATTTATCCAGCAGAAATTACAATATAATTTACCAAAACAAGTTATAATAAAATCTACAGAGACCCATTCTTCACTTTCTTTTTATACAGACATCATGTTACATCATGATGTAAATTATGTTATATTTAGTTGTATTCAACAGCTGCCATACAACTATTCATGAAGCACTGTCATAAATTAAAATCAATAGAGTGTAACCTCAAGGAGCTAATCAATTCAACATTCATTCACTCACTATTTAGACACAAATGGCATATGTCTGAACGTCAAGCCCATTAACTCACCCAGTTTAGCGTAGTAGAAGGGGAAGTCTCTCAGGGCAGTAGAATACTGTGGCAGGGTGAAGAGGCCTCCAGGCAGACTGTTCCACATTAGCGAACTTCTTGAAGTCTGCCGCAGCACTCGATCCTGAATGATCTGTTTACAATCATAGATTGACAAATTGAACAAAGACCCTAATAAAAAAGGTCATATGGGACAAACTGTAATCATAGTGACTAAAGCACATTTTTTATTCCTTTCCTGCTCAGTCAAAGTGTGAATAGCATGTCAATTTTGAAATTAAAGCTTGGAGGACTAGGCTAATCAAACACCAGAAAACATAAACACCAATTTGCTTTTATGTCAGAGAGAGTCTCTAAAATCCCACAGAAAAGCATCAACATATTTTACCGTTGACAATTATTATGTACATACAATTATTCTGGCATGTCTGTAATGTTTGCCAAACTAAGCAGTTGGCAGAAAGTGGAAGGAACAACACTGATGCCAAACGTTTTTGTGGGTCATACCCTGCTTTCTTTATATAGCACAACCATTTTGTTTATCATTACATTATCATCAACACATGATGGATGCATGATCATATCGGAACAGGGTATTGCTTGCTTTAAAAAGTATTTAAGGAAATTGTGATATAGAAAAATAATTGGTGTACATCCCTATACCGCACTGTCAATCGTTGTGCTCAGCCCCAAGCCCCTTTTCCTCTGGAAAAGAGTCGACCACACAAGTGCAGTGGATTGCAGTCTGTTTATGTAACCGGTTAGCAGCTAATGTTGATCAGTATTCGCATTTGCATCACACGTTCAATATGAGAGTTGTCAAAAGGACAAAATATATATATATATATATAAAAAAAAATACAATCCTTCTTTGCAAAATAAACCCTTGTTGGAAAGATTTTAAATAAGACTTTATATTTGTTTCTAAATATTCTCTGTGTTTGTAATAAAAGCAGTATGAAGGCTGGCCATCTCACCAAACGAACACAGATGACACTGACAAGCAGATTTAGACGCCAGGTCGAGCATTATGCATTATCCCCTTTTCTAAACTGAATTTGTGAAAATTCATGCATAAAAGTTGTGACACATACCTCCAACGTGGTGAGCACAATCTTTTCGACAGAGTTGAAGTATGCTTCCCAGAGGAACTGTGTCTGCTGCCTCAAGGAGAGGATCTTATCCTGGTGAATGGAGCGCACGGTGGAAGGGATCTGAAACAATTTCAGTAATGTTTTTGTTGTTGCTGAAAACTTTGGATGACTCAAATATGTATGGTGTATAGGTTTGCAAAGGGTAAAGTATGGTATGATCTGTCTACCTGTAGTAGCAGCCTCTCATCGCCCCACACAGCTGCTGTGTTCCAGTCGATGATCTCCGAGAAGGGTAACTCCCAGCCATTGCTTAGCATAACTGGCACACATGCCGCCTGTTTGGAGATAAAAGCAAAGCAATGTGTTAGAAATATACCTAATAAAGTTTTAACTTATTATTGTCATTAAAATTAATCCTAAAAGAACATACACATTCTATATCCCTAAACAGCACACACAGAATTAATAGCACTGGATCCAGACCATGTCCCACTCTGTCCTGTACATACATGCCAGTCAGTCCATGTAATTTAAGCATTTTGTGTTGGAACAGAGAACTATCATTTTCGGCTTCAACACAGCAACTGCCTTAACACAAAAAACTCTCGAAGGAACAGTTTTGTTCATTCTGATTGTAAATTGTTAATAAAACATCAAAACCGGCGCTGTTAAAGTTTTTCCCTGAATGTAGAGCACCCATAGACACGCACACAGACATCCTCTGGCTCTGATTACCTAACCCCAAGTGTCAGGTTGTTCAGATCAAACCAGCCAAATTTTACCAGAGGAACTGGCAACTAACTAAACTTAAAATGTTAACCTAAACAAATATATTGTCATTAAAATGTTGACAGTAAAATGCATGATTTGCAAATGTTTTCCAGAAGTCTGAGACCAGTGTTTGGTATTATGACGTGGCATGAAGGATGATTCCAGGTGGAGGACTGAACATACGTATTGTCAGGGGCCCACAAGCCTGTCCTGTCCCAAAAGAGAAGAGTTCTTCCTTTCTACACACCTCGGCTGAGCTCACAGCAATCAGCCTCAGCTGCACCTGTGCTTATCATCACTTTATGGCTGAATATAAACAGAGTCTCGGTTCTCTACAGCTTCAACCGGCTGTTCGGGGAGCAACCCACCTCCTCCCCATCACCGCCTCTTCAGTGGAGTATCATGTCATGCCTTTGGCTCTGCTTCCTTCGACACCAAGGTCGAGGCCCCGGGGGGGTCGTAAGCTTATAATTTCTATATAACTCCCTACTGCATACGTCATGCAGTATTTCTGCAGGGGTCTAATTGCCACGTTTAATGAACAGTTCATATTAAAATACATTATTCTCTAGTTATCAGACGCACATGTCTTCACACCAGAACGTCCTGACCAGCGCAGGAAGTAGCGGAAGTAGCCGACCGGCTCTAATGCTTCTCCAATAATGCAGCTTTGCAGGGTGTCTGTGTTCAGAGACCTTCCACGGACTTTATATAACAGTAGTATGTGTTCAGATGCGCAATAAATTTATTCTATTATTAAACGGTACTTCCGCATCGGCCAACACACTCGAAGCAGTTACATGAAGTCACGGGAGCATGACAAGGAATATGTTTACAAGCACTATGTCCCCCATTGTCAACCCTGGTTTAGTCCTGATGTAGCTCCTGTTTTGGCTGTTTACAGTATGTTCAGTCTGCTCGCTCAGACCACCAATGTCCCCGCGACCACTTTGCGGCTCTCTGATTGGTTGCTGCACGAACGTCCCGAGGAAAGGTTGAGCAAAGTTTATCTACTGTGGGCATCGATTTTCCGCTCCTGCTCCTACCCTTCGACTTTCCCGCGCAGTCCGTGCGTCTCTACTGAGCAGTCTGTTTGTGCGTCCTGAGACGTTTGTGCGTTTTGACACTCGAACGCGCGTCACCATTGACTTTGCATTGAAAGCCAACGCAATGCATGATCCGGTTGGAAAGCACCATTAGAGTGGAAATGCATCACACACATATCAAATAGACTATAATATGAGTGTGGGAGTAAAGCAATGGATCAAATGTAAGAAGGGAGCAAATTATCCCATTTGTCCAAAGAATAACATTTATTATAAAAAGTATTTTTAAAACGCTTTGGCCAGTCCAAGTTTGTGGGCCTCGGATTCATTGCTCCACTACCCATCAGTTTCTGATGTGTTTAGCTTCGTTTCTTGGCTTTGTCCTTGAAGCGCACCTGATACAATTTTTTGGCTTCCATCCTCCGTGCTCTTTTGACTAGCACACGAGTACCATCAGCTTCACCTCATCTTGTCATCGTTAGAAAAGCCACAAACGTGCTAAACCCTGATATGGCTCCCGCCCCTCTCTCTCTCTCAACAATCATCCTGCGAGGCCCCTGCAGCTCAATCCTCTTTCAGCACATCGTATTACACACAAAGAATGTCAGTGTCACTCATGCACTTGTAACCCTGATCCTAAATTAACAGCATCATGTCTTTCCTGAGTCCTGAGCTAGGGAACAATCCTGCATAGAGAACCATGAATACAAAACAGATATGGTAACTTATGGTAAAGTTTAAATGTCACTGCAACTTAAAACACTGATTGGAGAGGAACCCTTTCTGCCTCTAGGCAACTACAGACTCGAAGAAAGGGAAACTCTGCTCCTCTTGCATCACTGTCAACACCTGCTTTGGTGCAAAAAACGTCCTACTGGAAATATGCACTCACTTGCACTGACATTGATTAGTTTGCATTTATGTAAAAGTGTTTCTGTGCACTCTGTATGTCTACCTTCAACCATATTATGAATTAATGCTGCCTTTACGGTTAGATGATCAAAATTGTATACCTCAACCTGAAAAACAGTTGTAGATTGCATAACTTCTCTTAAGTGCTGTTCCATTTTAAATCTGGGTCATCTCCAAATGTAATACACTGAAAATGTCAAAAACCTTTGAGTTATCTTGCTAACTAAATACAAAACCTTGGCGATTACATCATCACAATATGTGCTAGAATCATAATTGTGGATTCCAATCCTCATCTAAATATCGGATCAGGAAAGACAGATTAAACACGTGACTTTGTAAAGAATAACAACCCTATGGATCATTAATTCTTACATTTAGCTTTTGTATATAAAGTTTCCACAATAAGTCATTTATATGATTTTTGTTTTCTACAATTTATAGTGTGTATAATGTATAGCTTACCTGCAAAGCCTCTAAAAATCGAAAAGAGCCCAAACGCCGTCCCCTTGGAACAAGACAAAAAGTGGAGTTGTACAGCATCTCTCTGTAGTCATACCTGGAAAAACAAAATATGTTAGCTGCCGTGAAACAAAACATCTTCAAACGTGCTGATTAAAGAAGAACAAATTCTTGTTGGTTGATCTTTAAACTTATTGCCTATTCAGCTTAGCATCTAGTTTCTTCCTTGTTCCTTTTGCATCCAATCTAGGCCTCAGTCAGCACTCCCTTGGATTATTAAAATGCTTGGAATTCCTTTTATGTCAATATCAACTGCACTCGCAAAACGCTACTTTAATCTTGGGACTGCGTCTGAAAACTCTGTTAAAAAGCTTAAAATCAACTTAAAATCAGCTTTTATCAATAATTAACACAAAGATGTTATTATTTTGATAGACCGCAATTATCGTTTTTTTGTCCACTGTCAAACTCTGCCATCTTTACCCCTATGTCTAGTTTTTTTTGGTTCAGTCCAAACATAACTGAACTCATTTTGTTCAGATATAATTACCAGAAAAATACAATATAATAATATATTTGGACACAAAAAGTTTAGCAGTGGCTACCGACCAACTAATATTTTTAAATTTGGCCCGACAAAAAGTATTTCAACATCCCATGCTAAATAATACTGCCTATGAGTATTGTGTTGATCAATATTGCGATTAAATACATTTTAGAATTTCACTTCACTTGCCTTGCCTTTAAGTAGGGAGTCATGTTTCCGTTTGTGGAATGTACTAACTTGCAAAGAAGAAGTGCTAACAAGGCTAGGGCAGATTAGATTTCCTGTTTCCTTTTGCACTCCCCTTTACGTCATTGATGTGATTTCTATCTCTTTGTGCAGGTTGAAATAATGGATTTCATTAAGTGAAATCTTGTCAATTTTTTGGTTATAAATTATTTAAACTTTCCACGCATACAATTCTACTGGTATTGATACAGAAAGCATAAAAAAACTTTAAAAATGTGTGAACTCCTCCGTCCAAAACATATTTTTTGCAGCACAGTACACACTGACTTGGTATGGAGGTATGCATGCAGAGCAACATCTGTTCTTTTCTGCATTGACACAAAACGTGATGGATGATACATTCATACCCTGCTTGACCCAGATATCATCCTACTGCTCATTTTTATAGACTTGCAAATGTTAGATGTTGCGCTTATGTGCCTTGGTTGGATTAGGTTTGTCATTATAAATAAAAAAACTACTATTTAGAATGCAGTTGAGATGAAACCCATTATGTTATTAATAAATGCAGCAGTCACATCATTTTTACCGAATGAACTGTTCATTGAGACATCAATCTGGACTTTACAGTAAGTGAAAATGTGTGAAATGTGTGTATGCTATTTTAACAAAATTATGCCAAAATTTAAAGTGAAGTCAGCATCAGTGACATTTATATAACAGCAGACTGCTGATTTACGGCAAACAAGAAGAAGCTTGAGTGATTCTAAGAGCAGTTTCTTCCACCGACACTCATCAAATGAGTAAAACCAGAAAACCACAGCATTAGAATCTCAACAGGAAAAATGGCATGCATTATTTAAAGATCCGTTTCAATCACTTATAGACACTATTGGGTGCATATAATCTTTTTCAGCTGTAATATTGAACACAATGATTCATAGAACAGAGGATAACAGATTTTAACTGGGAAAAAAGATCAACCAGTCTCCTAGCAACAAGAAGGGATGGCGTGAAAAGAAAAGCATGTCTCCCTCTGTCAAGGGCCTGAAGAGACTGAGCAGAACAAAAAAAGTGTTTGTTTCAAATCATAAAAAAGACCACACACATTTACTAGAAGAGAGTGCACACACACACACACAAACAGAGCGCCACAGCAGGAAGCTTCAAATCAGGGTTTAGTGACTGTCTAATGTCTATGTTACCAATCCTAGATTAAATGCCAGCATTTTTCTGATATGTAACTATTTAACCCATTAAGGCCTGACACACCTGTAAAACCTAAGGCCGACTTCAGAACCACCCTCCAAAACCTGAAGTTTTCCTGAAATTCAACGTCTACTAAATGATTGATATCTCGGCCTCTGTAGCAGATAGAAACAATTTCAAAATAATTTGAGAGCTGACGCATGTTTCTCAATACAATAAGTCAAAGAGTTTTGCAATAAAGTGGCACTAACTATATGGAAAAAAAAATATTTAAAAATCCACTCTCTGCCCCAAAAAGTCAAATGATGACTCACTGTGCTCTTTTTTAAGTAAGCAAAATAAAAAACACGACTGTTGTGGTTTGTTTTGTTTCATTTTTTCCACAATATTTCACTTTTGTGCATAAACAACATGCACTTTCAATGCAAGCAGAACTTTAGGTACCCGAGCTTTAATTCGGTGAGTTTTGGCTGCCCTTCGTGAGGAGACTTTGGGGAGACAGGCAAAACCCGCACGTGCAACAAGCTGGGGATGGTGCTGATTGCGCGTGTATGATTCCCGGGGTCAGAACGGATGATGTTAATTCCGTTCGAGTACGTCACACAAACAACTAAGCGCACACGCACACAGACACACTGTATACAGATATACTAGGGCCGGGACTCGATAAAAAAAATAAAAAAAATTATTAGAGGCTTTGTAATTAATTAATCGCATATAAATATTTGACCTGAGAACAGTGAGAAGTAATTTTTTTCACATGGATTTTTAGGTTACTTTTGAATAAGGGCTGCTCCTCGTCCGCCTCCTCCTTCTCCGTTCATGCCGTTATTATAATAGATCCATGGTTCACACACAGAAGACACTGCTCCTCCTCCTCCTCACACAGTCCATGGTTCATGCACAGAAAGACACTGCTCCTCCTCCTCCTCACACAGTCCATGGTTCATGCACAGAAAGACACTGCTCCTCCTCCTCCTCACACAGTCCATGGTTCACGCACAGCGCTCATTCCCGTCACTTAACTCACTGGGCTTTCACTTAAGTTGGTCTATGCTTGTAATAATGTACTTTTGAACAAAAAAAAGTCACGGAGCCATGCACGGAGCTCAGTATAATCGGTCTGTCTGAAACTCATCCACTGAGGAAGGTTCCGCGGTGCAAAAACACATACGATTAAAATGCGTCAATATTTTTAACATGCTAATTTTTGTGGCGTTAATTAATCTTAACGCGTTAAGTCCCGGCCCTAATATATCAGAATCAGAATCATTTTTATTGCCACGTGAGTAACAAAGTTATCACTTGGAAATTGTCTTGGCAGAGAGCGTGCCACTTCGCCATTTGCGGCGCTGTAAATATATATACATATATATTTATTTTTTAGGGCTGTCAAACGATTACATTTTTTTTTTTGATTAATTGCATAGTAATGGTGAGTTAACTCACGTTTAATCGCATTTTTAACATTCTATTTCAAATCCACTCCAATTGAAGTTAAATGAGATTATCAAATGTAACAGTCAATAAATACTAATTGTATTTTGGGTTTAATATTTAGCATAGCATCAATGATGTGCTTTGTATCCTAAGAGAAGTTTGCCAACATGGCACACAAAGTGCAAGTTGGGTGTGGCTTAAATTTCATGTTGAAAATTTTACACATGGAAAAAGTTCAGGGGAATCTGGTGGTCCAGAAACATGGAAAGTCGGATCGTCATCTCAGCTCTAAAAGCTTTTAAAATGTACATGAGCTTTTCTAAAAAGGTATGTCTTTCCAATAAATGCAGAATTCATTCTAGAGATTATACAAAAAAAAAAAGTATGCTGCAAATTAAACTGGCTGCAAATGTCTTGCATCTTGCATAAGCATTGGCCTTAAGGCCAGAAGGTTGTGGGTTCAACTCCCACCTCTGCACCTTCTCCACCGACTCCCACTGATGACTGCTGTCGTTGTGTCCTTGGGCAAGACACTTAACCCCACTTTGCCCAAAAGCCCCCACTGAAAGATCAAGGCTATGCTCACAGTCAGTGAGCAGCCATCCTCCTGTGGACTCACCACCTGCAGAGGGTCAGTGAGGGGCTGGTGCTATGAGACTTGGGTGGCATCTCTGATTGCCACCCCCCTGACCAAGAAATGGATTAAAGGGTAGAAAATGGATGGATGGATTGATGGATGGATGGATGAATGATAATCAAGTTATCTGGAGAAAACTATCAAAAGGGTTAGAAGCTATAAGTGCTAAACCTTAGCACCATTCATTTATTGCCTTTACTTATTTATTGATATCAATGTCAATGTTTAGATTTCTCCTTTTACCCCGTGCATGTGTGAATTTGAAGGCTTAGCTCTGGAGAGAAACTCCAGTTTCTCTCTCGCACAGTCACTCTAATTTTATTTTGTAAACAAATGTAAAATAAAATTGATTGTTTTAAAAAGATTATTTCTCCTATTCAAAAACAGACACAGGCATCATCCTACGCAGCTGTATCCATGGTATCTGGGAGGAGCATTAGTATCAAAAGAACTCAGATAAACTTCAAAGGCTGATATGGCAGTACTAGTACAATGGCAATCTCCCTCCCGACTCTTATTCCATTCTGACTTCAAATAATATTTCGTGCTTCGTCTGTTCTGTCACACTTGTGCCAAGTTGATGGGCAGTCTGCAGTTGCCAAGAATGAGTTCAAGCCAAAATAATTTGTGTGTGAAAGAGACAGAGTGAAAGTGAGCGTCATCGGACGAGAAAAGCAAAGAGAAAGTAAAGAGACAAAAATGCATTGACAACCACAAAGTACCGCAGTCCTAGCAGCCACCCATGGCAGGAAGAATGTGCCACACACTGCAGAGGCAAAAATTGCACTTATCTCAAAACCTCGAGAAGGTACTACCAACCAGTTATGAATTCTAGGACACAGCAAATATACAGTTCTTCAAGTACAGTTAGGTGTAGGGATGTACAATACTAGGGCTGCACAATATTGGAAATGAGTGTTTAGTATTGCGATAACAATAATATTTTGATATTTTTGTCTTTCACCTAAAATTGCAATCTGCATTGAAACGCAAGAGATATAACAATCTATCGCAAGAGAATAAAAAAAAATAAGCACAACATTAATGACATTCAAATGCATGTACAGTACAGACCAAA